CTAGGGGTCTCGTGGGTTTGTTGGCCCCTTGGGGCGCGATCGGCGAGGCGTCTGCTGGATTCTCCAGGCTTCGCGGTCGCTGGGCCCGTCTGGCAGATGTCGAGGTTGTTGATGCTGCTCATGCTACCCTCCTGTATCTTGGGGCTCGAGGCTCAGTGCCCCCGTCGCGTTGGGCGCCCTGTTGGGCTGATTATTGCAATGGCCGCCGCCCCTGCTTGTCTGGCATCGAGTGGCTCCATGGCGCGTTCAGGAAGCGCGCCTGGCCTGCGCTGGCGTCGCAGGGGCCCCAGACTCGAGGTGGCGTTGCTGCATGGCCCGCCGTCTGACGCGGGTGCCGGCTTAGCGCCGCTGCCGATGGGGCAGGTCGCCATGACTTCTTCGATGGGCGTGCTTTTCCTCGCCCCCACTCGCGCCCCTCTCGGGGTCTCGGGCCTGGTTGTCAGCCGAGCTGAATTGTTAATCCTGTCGCAAGTTCCCCGCCGCAGGGCCAGCCCGTGCATCTGTCTGACCTGTTGGCGCGGCTGGGCGCCAACGTCGCCCCCTCTCAGTCGAAGGCCGGGCGGGGGGCGCTAAGGGGTGGAAAAGTTGGTCCAGTTATAACATCGAGATGGGGGGTCGGAGTGCTCATTGAGCCAGACGGCCCGTCGCGGGTTGGGAACAGTTCCGGGGGGGGGGTCGCTGTTTCGGACCCCCTGGCCTGGGTCGAGGGGCAGGCCGCGATCTTTTCGGACGTATGGGGGGGCTCCAGTCGGCCTTGACATGGTGGCCACAGAGTGGCCGCAGGTCCCTTGCCCTTCATGTCTGTGGATTTTGTACGTTACATCTCTAGGTCATATGCCCTGAGGGCCGCTTGTGGACTGGATGGGCCCCTTGTCACGCATGATCCTGGATGGGCGATGAATTCGTGCAGGTGTTATGTTCCATGGTGCGCATCATGGAAATTGTTTCAGCCCTCCCAGTCCAAGTCCAAGTGGCGCAGCTCGCGCTGCTCATGAAGCCGCCAGGCGGCCGACGGCCCGTGGGCTTCGACTGCTCGCTCTACAGGTCGCGGGGCAGATGGCGCCGCTGTTTCGCGCAGGGGCGTGGGCTCAACCACCGGCGCAGTTTCGCCGCGGGGCAGGCCTTCTCTTAGCTGGTGCTGTTGTCTGGTTTCAAGGAGGGGGCTGGGGTGCCCGCGGATGAGGTTAGCGCTGCTCTGCTCTGGGATATGCCCAGATTTCTACGAGGGAGTGTGCCTTCACCGCTTGGAGCAGCATTGCGTTATATTTGGTTTCCCTGTTCTCGTATTCAAGCTCGCTATCGTAGCCTCCAAGTCTGCTCGCTGCGTGTGCTTGGCTAGTTGTCTGGCTGGCCCATTCCATGCAGTTGAAGGCGTCGCCCCAGGCTGCAGCCTCGCCGCGTCGCTCTTGAACGCATGCGCGATCGAGGGTTGTTCGAGTTTGAGTTTCCCGAAACATGTGCAACTGGACCATTGCATTGATGTGATTGGTGTATCGGCGGTAGGCTCGCTTGCGGAAGTTGAGGGCGGCTTGCAGAGTGCAGTTGCTCAGTTTTTCCAGGCCATCGTCAAATATTGAGACTGCAGGATCTCTAAGGACAAGGCTGCACTGGTCAGCTTTAGTCGCGGCGTCACTAGAGCCCGTCGAGAGTTCCTGGGGCCGCATGCTGGACCTGAATATGACATCGCGGTGAATGTTAGGACTGACGGTGCTCGAGGTAGATGCGTCGCGCCGCTCGTCGCGGAGCCAAGTGCAGGATCGGGGTAGACTGAGCCGTCAACCAAGGAGCGTGCCAACAGAAGTTGTAGTGTTGAGAAGTATAGTCAGCGTGCGTGCATTACTGGGGCTCTCCCTGGAGTGTTGTACGGTATTGAAGGTCATGGGTTTCCTGATTTCTAGCCGTTGAACATTCGTCGCGGGGCCGGGGGGGGCCCTCGTCCTGGGGCCCAGGGCCGTTCGCTCACAGATACGACGATTTGCCATGGCGATCCCGTTTGGCATGGCGTTGTTTCTTTTATTGTGCGGTCCGCTGAAGGGGGTTTCGGCTTGGCGGGGCAAATCTTGCCCGTTCTCTTTGGGCTGGGCCCATCTGCGGGGTGGCCGCGATGCTGCTTTCGCCGAGCCCGAGCCCGCGCGGCGAGAGGTCGCGGGGCCCATCTCGGCGCGCAGGCCCTCGTTGAAGAGGATAGGTTGGCGGATGATTGACTTTGCGATTTGCGTCGGCGACTTTGGCGAGGCAGTGCAGTTCGCAGTCGCCCCACCAGCCGCAATTAAAATGGTGCTCGGCGCTTCGCTGCGCAGTCTGGATAGGGGCGCCTCTCGCTGGGCGGTGATCGAGTGCCTTCGGCAATGATTCCACGTTGTCCGCAATCGGCATCGACATTGCGAGTCTTCGAATCAAGGGGAATATTCGATCATGAGTTTGGTATGTGAAGCTTGGTGGGCGCATGTCTGGGCGGAGAATGCAGGATGCCAAGTGTGCAACGTCTGTCCTCTCTGCGGCCAGCCTGGCGATGCGGTGCGTCGCCGCTTTTGGCGTTGTCCGCGCGTGGCCTCTTTGCGCGAGTGGCTTGTGAAGCCTGATAGTTTGCAGCGCGTCGCCGCCGCCGCGGAAATGTCCGACCCCCCCCGCCCGGGGGGCATTATCCCTGGGCCTGCCCGGGAAGACGACGAGGTCGAGGCGCGCCTATCCTGGGGCGAGCCGCCCCAGGATGGCGACGCGCTCGCAGGGAGCATTCGCGCTGATGGCAGTGGCCGTCGGTGCGGCGCGAAGTCAGCGAGCTCTCTCGCGCCAGCTATCGTTTTAGCGGGTCTAGGGGACGATGGGCGTAGACATGCCGGGGCGTTCGGGCCCGCCCTCTCGTGCCCTTCCGCCTCGCCTCTCAGTGCGCCAGGTGCGCCGTGGAGGCGCGGGGGTAGGAGGGGTCTCTGCTTTTTTCTCCGACCGCGCCGACGTGGCGCACCGGTGTCCGGCGCCCTTCGCCGCCCGGCTCATTTTCAATTGGCCCTCTGGCTTGGCTCGCGCTGTGGTTTCTCGCGGGGGGCGGGGGGGGGGTGCTGGTGAAGGCTAATTTTGAGTGGGCTTGCTTGGCTCGCGATGTTGTTTCTCTCGAGTCGGCCGCGCTGGTGAAGGCTAATTTTGACCGGCCGGGAGCGGGGGTCTCTGCCCGTGAGCGCCGGTTGCCAGGCGGCAGTGACGAGGCCGACGAGGCGCGCATCTCGGTTCAGCCTTTCGCGCCCGTGCTTCCGAAGGCAAGTTGCAGCGACTTGTCTTCCGGCGCGTTTCCGAGTCGGCGCGTGATTTGGCTGCCGCTGCGCTTCCAGAGCGGCCTCGCCCAGGCTTCTCGGATTGTCCCCAGGCGGCCCCGCCCGCTGCCCCTGAGGGCCCCCCCGGGCCCCCTCGCGCGCGGGCCCGCGCGATCTAGGGGGCGCCGTTGCTTTTCTGTTTGCGCTGCCAGAAATGTGCGAGGGGGTCGAAGGGGGGGGGGGGGAATAAATGCCTCCACCTGGGGGTGTCTTTCTGAACCCCCCCGGGCTCCATGGCACGAGGCGTTGTTTTTTTGGTTGCTTCAGGTGGCTATTTCATAGCGGCTTGCGCGAGGTGCCATGCTTATCCCACCGCCTCCCACGGCAGTGTTCGAGGCTTAGCTAGAGAGTGCGGTTGGCCCGCGAGGTGGCAGACCTGGCCTCAACCAGACTTGCAAAGTCTTCACCGGCAGAAGAAGGGCCTGACTGTCGAAGCAGCCCCGCGGCATGAATGCTTCAGCCTTGTAGTTCATATTCAGCTGACGTGGGCGTCGACTTCGCCTCCCCCTCAGCCTCGGACGACGTGGGCGTCGACCTCGCTGAGAAGGGGGGATGGCAATTCACTTCCCAGCGCCTCGACCAGATGTATCCTCGCCGAGGCGCCGGGCGCGATCTACGATTCGAAGTGGGAGAATCACGGAACAGCCGCGAACTATATCGGGCGGGCGTTGCAGGTGTTTGCTAGAGCACGGCAAGGAAGGCCATCGCGTCCAGAAGAGACCCAGGGCCACGCGTTAAGGAACGCGATGCGAGGCAACATATTGTGCGGCGGTGTTGGCGGCCGCGCAGAGGTCGCGGAAGGTCAGTCGCCTGTCGGCGGCGCCGAGGACTACGTGCCGGATGCGGCCTCACCAGAGCCCTTGAGCTGTCCGCCCTGTCGACGAGGAGCCGTCGGTGGAGGAGGAGTGGGGCTTCGCCGTGGTTGCGGGGGTCCATGCGTTGCTGGCTGAATCAACAGCATGATCATCGGGACACCATCATCACCACCATTACCATCACCACCACCACCATCACCATCATCATCATCATCATCATCATCATCATCATCATCATCATCATCATCACCATCATCATCATCATCATCAACTGCATCATCATCAACATCTTCAACATCATCATCACCATCATCATCACCATCATCATCATCATCATCATCGTTGGGACACCATCACCATCACCACCACCACCATCATCATCATCATCATCATCATCATCATCAACAACAACATCAACATCAACATCATCGACATCATCATCACAGTCATCATCGGGACACCGACGGGACACCGGCGGGACACCGGCGGGGCACCGCGCGCCACCGGACGCCGGAAGGGAATCATTTGGTCTGGCCGCGCCTCAGCCACAGCGGGACACCGGCGGAACACCGCGCGCCACCGGACGCCGGAAGGGAATCATTTGGTCTGGCCGCGCCTCAGCCACAGGAGACTTTTTTCTCGCCCGCCCACTCAGCTCCGCCTCGCCCGCACGCACGGCACGCACGAACACGAAACCGAAACCGATTTCCCGGTAGGGGGGCTCTCCGGCCCACTTCGATCTCACCCCCTCACCTCCGATGCTTTCCCCCCTCTGTTGTCTCCACATCTAGGATCTTTCGCGGACTGCCGATCCGATCCGATCCCTTCCCCTCCCTTCCCCTCTCCCTCCCCTCGGGTCACCCCGTCTGCTCGGCGCCAGGACACGGCCCCGGCGCTCCGCAGCGCCATCGCCCGCAGGGCCAGGCTGGCCCTCGCGTGCCTAACCGACTGCATCGCGCACAAGGGCCTCGGCCCGCAGGTGGCCGGCACGGGGAAGCTATCGGTGGCGATAGGGGGGGGGGCAGGCATAGGGCCAGGGGTGAGTGCATCGACCTCCAGTCGTCCATTGATCGCTGATAGGGGTCTGATTGCCCTACCCCGCCGAGGAACGTGCGGATTCGTTATCGGGGGCCTATCGCCGATCTATCGGCGATGTATCGCCGATTCCAGCTCGATGTCCCCCCCAATGCCAGTCCCCCCTGTATCGTTGCCCTTCAAGCAGTGCGGTGACCACACCGAGTGCTAAGTCAGTGGGGAATCGGGGGTGACGGCGCGGTTTTGGGGCTTGGGTCGTTCTCCGAGGATTTGTCGGGCGACTGGGGCCCCCGGGGTCCCAAGACGGTGTGGTGACGGACCGTGCGGTGATGCCCGTAGGAACTCCGTTGTCACCGCATGGTTTGTCACCGGATCTCTCTGGGAGCCCAAGAGTCAGGTCGCCAGCGGGGGCGCGAAAATGATGGTGCTTCGCGCGTTGCGGCCTGGGCAGGAGTGGCTGCCCTTCTTCCAGGATGCATCGCGAGGGCGCGGGGAGGCGATGATCGCGCCGCGGGGTGCGATGCGCGAGATCACGTGACAGGATGATTCGGAGTGGGCGTAGGAGGAGGAGGAGGAAGAATGGGAGGAAGAGAAGGAAGAGAGGGAGGATGAGGAGGGGAGGAGGAGGAGGAGGAGGAGGGGGAGAACGAGGAGGAGGGAAGAGGAGGCGGAGGAGGACGAGGAGGAGCAGGAGGAAGAGGAGCAGGAGGAGGATGAGGAGGAGGAGGGAGGATGAGGGGCAGGAGGAAAAGAGAGGACCAGTGTGAGTCCAAGACGCATCATCTGTGATGCAATATACCGTCGACTCAAATTTCCTTTCCATAGGTCCTTCAAGAATTTATGGCAATAGCTGGAAGCGCCCCCCCATTGGAAGACAACCGTCTGAGAATCCTCAGTCGTGCCAAAACACCATTCCTTTGACTTCAACGCCGCAGATCAGCCTTACTTTTGCCTCCTGACGATCTGGAATCCTGCCAGAACACCGTCCCTGGGACTTCCACACCGGAAATCAACTTGACTGTTGCGCCTTGCCAATCCTAAACCGTGCCAGAACACCATTCTTGGGACCTCGACCATAAGATTCTGCTGAAATTTGCAATTTTTTGAACGATAGAAAATAGCATCCATGTGCGCGGCGCTAAGGCGAAAGCCACATCTTGAGAACCAACCGCCCTCCAGCCGTGAAATTCTTGCACATGTGTGAGACGAATGTGCGCGGCGGTAATGCGAAAGCCAACGCCCTCCAGCCGTGAAGCTCGTTCACACTATTACAGACGAATGTGCGCGGTGGTGAGGCGAGAACCACATTTTGAAGACCACCCGCTCCCGCGTCGCCTTGTTTTGAAAGCCACCCGCTCTTGAGCTGAGAAACTCCTGCACACTTTTCAGACGAATATGCGCGTTGGCGAGGCGAGAGCCACATTTTGAAAACCACCCCCCCTTCAGCCGTGAACCTCTTGCAACTTTTTAATCCCAGGCTCATAAATGATGAGAAGTCTCAGGCGAAACGCCTGGCCCGCCCTACCGACACGTCTCGGGGTGCGACAAAGAGGATTTAGTTTTAATGAGAAGGGGTGGAGGAGGAGGAGGAGGAGGAGGACGAGGAGGAGTGGAGGTGGAGGATTAGGGAGAAGAGTAGAGTAAGCCCAGGGTGTGCGAACGATGCTGCAGCACACCCTCCTGTCCCAATTTCCCTAATTCTAAGTCCCCGCACGCAGTACTTCCCCTTACAACAGGCCGTGCCGCCCTAACAGGCGATCGCCCCAGGTGTCTGCACTGCAGGGAGCTCCGTTTTGAACAGATTCTGCCAAGCACTCTCTCTGCTGTAAGTGCCGTAAGAAACGGAAAGACGAAGAGTCTGAAAGTTCAAGGAATGGTCCAGGGAAAGTGCAATTTCAATTGACAGCCATATTTCATCCGTGTAGTGTGCCGTTGCACAGTTTCAAGGTGCGGCCATGCACTATGAGGAAGTATCCAGCTCGAGCCCCGTCCTAAACAAGAAAGCGCCAACACGGTCCAAGATGGGCCCAAGACGGTCCCAAGCCGTTCCAAGGATAACCTTTTGACAGACCCCCTCCGACATACATCCAGAGGCTCCGCGACGTTCCGGGAGCCCTCTGACGTGATCCATGATTTGTTCAGTTGGCTCCACGCCCGTCCGCAGAGCTGAGGGAACTCCCAACATAGCTCTCGGAAGCCCATCTCGGTGCTCCCTGGGACTCCCATCTTGGTGCTCCTTTGGGTCCCTCTCCGCTCAAATGCGTCTCGCTTTGCCCTCTGGGAGCCATCTTCGTCCTGACGATTCAGAATTCCAGAACTCTCCCCCAACCTAACGAGTTTCCGACATTTTGACGGATTTGGGTCCAGAGGGGGTTCTCTCTGGCCTCTCTTGTGTGGCCGTCTTCGGGCCATCTTCGAATAGTTCTGGAGACCCCTTCGGCCTTCCTCAGCCGACACGTCCCGCGGCGCTCTCAGACGGTCCCTCGCCCGCCCCCAGAACCTTGAGCCACCTGTCACTGCCGTGGTGCACCTGTGGCTACGCGTGCGAAGCGCGCGTGTTGCTGAATTGGCAGACCGGGTCTACGCGCCTCGCACAGCTTGTTCGAGACACTTCCCATGAGATCGCGCCTGTCTGCGTGGAGGGGCAACACTGGGCAATGGGGGTGCGGCGTGTCAGAATGCATGAGCTCCACATGATCACTTACAGGATCGCCGTAGTTCCCTGCTCACTCCTCTCTCTCTTCCTCCTCCTCCTCCTCCTCCTCCTCCTCCTCCTCCTCCTCCTCCTCCTCCTCCTCCTCCCCTTCTCGAGGCGCTTCTTTGAGGGGGTCGCTGAAGGGGCCCGCGATGGGCCCGCCCGCCGGTCGAGGCTGGTCCCGACGCGATGGGCCTGGTCGGGCAGCTGCCGAGGAGCCGCCTGCCCTGCACGGGCTGCCGGGAGGAGAGAGCCGGCAGCGGCAGGGGGCCGCTACCCCTCCCCCCTTTGTGGGCCTCCTGGGAGGCCCTCGCCGCCACCGCCTGATTCGCTTCGAAATTCTGGTCAGAGCTCGCCCCGGGAGAGGTCCGTGGTTTCTCCAGAAGCAGAGAGAGAGAGAGAGAGAGAGAGAAGGCCCCGAGATCTTGGCGTCGCACTTGTTTCGCGGCGGGCGATGTTTTGCCTCGTTTCGGGACCCGGGGCCCTCACGGATGGATCTGGGTCGAATAATACCGCAGAGAGAAGGGTCCAGGGTTTGGTCGACATTTTTTTCACGATGTTGCATTTTGTTCGCGACGTTGGATCTCAGGGGGTGGGGTCAGGGACAGAGAGAGAGAGAGAGAGGGAGAGAGGGAAAGAGAGAGAGAGGAGAGAGAGAGAGAGAGAGAGAGAGGAGAGGGCAAGCATGGCAGCAGGGAGAGTCGAGGAGGACGAGGGGGAAGAGTGGGAAGATAAAGGGGGGTAGAAGTCCGAAGTCAGGGGCGACGTTCGGGTGTGATAGGCTTAGGGGGGAACGCATCGGCCATTCATCGCCGACAGAGGCCTGATAGCCCGTCCCGCCCAGGAGCGTACGGATTCGCTATCGTGGGCCTATCGCCGATCTATCGGCGATAGTTCGCCGATTCCAGGTCGACATTCCTCCCGAAGCTGGTCCCCCCCTATTGTTGCACCCAAGAAGAGGGGGAGAGAATGATGGAGAGGAACCGACAAGCGGACCTATGACGTGGATCACTTCGCCTGCTAGGTAATCTGCGCCCCTGTGGCGCATTTTCTGCTCGTCTTCTGCGGCGTTAACGTTCGCTGATCGATTAGTCGCCTTTCGTTCCGCATGATCTCGCAACTGCGCTTCTGAAGCAATGCAGTTCTGCCATGATGACATTTGTGGTGAGCCAATCGAGGCGCGAAAGAAGTGTGCCATACGTGCTGCTGCTAGCCACATTTTCTTACACACGTGAGTCACGCGTGACTGCTACCATTTAGGTGCTGCGCCGGCAAAGTCCCGCTCAGTCGTTTCAGGCAGAACGGTCCAACCAAAGTACGTTTCCCAAAGTGCTCCTGGGTCCTGGGCACTTGCACCACAGCCAGTGTCATCCCTGCTTTTCACAGGAGAGGGTCACCAGCATGGGTTAGCAACAACCACGTGGTCTCTGAGCTGCAGGGTGAGGGTCCCAGGGGCCCGCAGCCGGCGACAAATTTCCAGGAGCCCTCTCCTCCAGGACCCGTGCCCCTGACGCCAGGGTGTTTGTCTCCTCGCCCTGCGAGGAGACTCTTCGGGGCCATCTTCGACAACGTCGACGACAGGGACCGCGGCGCCTGCGCCTTCCTCGGCGAGATCCTGCAGAGCTGGGACCCTGCCCCTGCTGCAGCGTCCAAGCGCGCTCAGTGGCCGTCCAGAGGGAAGGGGCAGGAAGAGGGGGAGAAGGGGGAGGAGTCATTCGCCAGAGAATCGCTCCTCCTGGCGAAAGTGGGGTTAAACGAGAAAGGTAGATTATGGGTCTCATGGCTCATGATGGAACCGTTGAGCTAGAATTCGGATGTACAGGAGGAAGGTCGAGGAGCAAGAAAAGAGAGAACGACTACGACGCGAACCCCTGTCCTTACTCTTTCCCATGCACGCGCGGAAGCCGCGTTCTCCTGGTTTGAGCCGCAGTAGTTGCGGGGCGGCGTCGACGGGCGGCGGCAGGCATAGAGAGCGAACGCGGAGAGAGCAATCACTACTCCCCCCGCGGCGGGCCGCGTAGACCCAATGCCACCAACCCAGCTCGGAGAGTACTGCGGTTTCCTGGAACCCCTCAGGGCACATTGGCCCCCCCCCCCTGCGCCAACCCCCAAAAGAAAAAGCGTTCTACAGCGCCGGAGCAGGGGTGCCGATCCCGCTGGACCTCTCAATGGGTAAGGTCGGAGCGGGCCGACGTACCCCACAGATAATTATTCATGCGCAATAAAAGACGAGGGAGTTCAGGTATAGGCGCTTTGTCCTGCTCTTCTCCCGCAGTGCCTTGGAAGCTGAGCCTCCATCAGCATTTGTTTCTTCACCTCGTGCATCTTGAGGTGCAGCTCCCATCATTGTCATCGTAGGTCTTCTACGACCGCCATTGTGTATTTTTGCTCCATTTCCATTTCCCAACATGCGTATGATCATCATACAGGTAATTACGATCCTAGTGGTCCTGGTACTGACCACGCTGCTGACCATCTCGTGTCGAGTAGCTGCTCGACGGACGACTCTCCATCTTCTGATCTTGTACTTGTGTTCGCCATGGTGGCACTTCCGCTTCAGCGATCCTCCGCTCCTCGGTCGGGCTGCTGCTCCTCGGCCTCGACACCTTCGTCTGCGTGCTCTGCCAGTGCACCAGCCGCGCTCCCTCGCGCAAGAAACGTCCATCAGAGTCGGCAGCCAGGGAGCGCCCATCGGAGGCGGCAGCCATCGTGGACCCCTGCGCGGGCGGCGCGGGAGGAGCAACGGAGCAGGTCATAACGCAATTAGGAGTAACAGGTGCGGGAGCAACAACTGAGTCGCTACCCCCAGTCATCCTCGACTCGTCTCTCTCTAGTTCTGTCGAGGCCCTTGCTGGAGTCCCTTCGACTGAGTCAGGAATATGCTCCGCAATGGGCTCGCTTGGATTCGACGAAGGGCTCGGGACACCGGTCGGTTGGATTGGGCGATTCCATTGCCATATCTTCCGTCCCAGTATGCTGTGTCGGACGACTTGCAGGGATCCCATCACCAGGTAAGCCGATATTAGGGATGCCGTTGTCTCCGTGTAAGTGCAACATGCCGACAGCAATTGTCACATGCTGCTGTCCATGTTTCTCAATCAGGCCGGTCTATATAACTTTGCCTTGATCTGGTTGTGAAAGTCTGCCATCGCATTCAGGATGGGCCAAAGGGTCCATGCGTATTTTGATCTTGAGGCTGAGCCCTAATCCCGCGATTACCGTCTCCAACAGATTGGATGTCCGGATGGTGTGCGTAATATTTTGGTCAAGTTGATCAGAGTCTATGTTCATTTGTTGCGGGCAATGGTCAACCTTGTTTCCAGCATAACTTGCTCTCCATCGCTCCTGACTTTGTAGGAGTGACTGTATACTAGATGGATGTACAACGAGTCGTCTTTGAATGACATATTCCACCATATGTTCACGCATTACGTTCATCACGCGAACGAGTCTGTGATCTAACAATTCAGGTTAGACGTTCTTGTCCCAAAAGATCAGCCAGAAGTTTGGCGATTCTGGCTACAGTGTATGCTTGGTCAACGTCGCCGTCAGGAGTTGGTTCAATGATCGTGTATTGGTTCATGAATTTAGTTGCAGCATTCACTATCTCGCTCCCCGATGTCGCCACCAAAATTGCCGCGTCTGAACTGTCCGCCAAGTTGACACCATCTTTGGCAAACATCTGGACGCCTGGGCGATCCAGAAATGGTGCGACGGCTTATATTCTCGAAGAAACGAGCAATTACCTCCGAGGATATCTTGGTCTTCGAAAAATGAAATTCCACTCCTTCGTCAAACATTCCACGGATATTTGGCGATGTTCTCAAGAGCAATGATTACGGGCCAGCCTCAAGTTAGATCTCAAGCATGTCCGAGCACGCGTGATCGATGGTGTAGAAATTAGGGCGGTTCGGGCCAAGGCCCATCAATCGATCATGCCTCTCTCTCGCAGCTCTCGGAAAGGGCTGCGGGCAAATGGTCTAGGGCCTTTGCGTTGAGAATTGCGCGTTCCATGAGAAAGTGCGTGTTACGATCGTACCTCGTGTGTTTCGTGTTGGCTGCGTAGTCATTTGCCAGCCATTTTGCCGTTTGAGGATTCATACCATCCGCAGTGAGCTTGTCTTCCCGCAGTGGCAGCGAATACCAATATAGAAATGTCCCAAACACTCCTGCACCGGATCCGCATGAGCTTCAAGACGCAACGAATATGTCACGAATTTCAGTGCCAGGAGCCCACGACGGCGTACGCGTACGCCTACGACGGCACCAGCGCCAGCGCCTACACAAGCACCGGCGCCAGCACCGCCAGCACCAAGTGCGCTGTCACAAGAACCAGCGCCTTCACCAGCACCGACCCCAGCACCGACGCCAGCACCAGCATCATACGCCAGCGCCGACGACAGCACCTACGCCAGCATCAACTCCTGCACATACGCCGGCACCAACGCCAGCGCCTACATCAGCGCCGACGCCAGCACCGACGCCAGCACCAACGCCGGCGCCTACGCCGGCATCAATGCCGGCACCCTCACCAGTACCGACGCCAACACCGACGCCAGCACAACCGCTGGCGCCTATGCCAACATCGACGCCATCACCGACGCCAGATTCAGTGATTGCGCCTACGCCGGCTCCAACGCCTGTGCCTGCACCAGCACCGACGCCAACACTGACGCAAGCACAAACGCTTGCGCCTGTGCCAGTTCCAACACCAGCACCTACACCAGCACCGAGGCTAGCAATGACGCCCGCACCTACGCCGGCGCCTACGCCAGCGCCGACGCCAGCACAGACGCCAGCATGAACGACGGAGCCTACGCCGGCACCAACGCAAGCGCTTCCACCAGCGCCGACGCCAGCACCGTCGCCAGCACTAACGCCGGCGCCTACGTTGGCACCAACGCCAGCGCCTACCCCAGCACCGATGCCAGCACCGACTCCACCACCATAGCGGGCGCCTACGCCGGCACCGACGCCATCGCCGACGCCAGCATCAACCCTTGCGCCTCTGCCGGCACCAACGCCGTCGCCTACGCCAGCGCCGACGTCGGCACCAATGCCAGCACCAACGCCGGCGTCTACGCTGGCACCAACGCCAGCGCCTACACCAGCACCGACGCCACTACCGACGCCTGCATGAACACTGGCGCCTACGCTAGCGCCGACGCCAGCACCGACGCCAGCACCGACGCCAGCACCTACGCCGGCACCAACGCCAGCGCCTACACCTGCGCCGACGCCAGCACCGACGCCAGCACCAACTTGGCGCCCACGCCGGCTCCAACTCATGTTCCGACTCCACCCCCGACGCCGGCTCCGACTCCAGCTCCGACACTGCCGTCACTCACAACCACGGCGGCTCCGATTCCAGCTGAAGTACCCGTTTCGCCCGCTTTGCCAACACCTGCTCCGACACCAATTCCGACGCCAGCACCGCTTCCGTCACCAGTTCCGACCCCATTGCCGCCGCCCATTACATCTCCAACCCCATATCCGACTTCTGTTCTGGCTACCAATTCCGCTCCTACCCCAATCACGACTCGGGTTTCTGATTCGGATATCAAGCCCACGTCTAGGGAGGCGACCGTTTAGATTGCCACGACGATCCTGCCGGCATCGACTCCAGCTCCAACCCCAGCGTACTCGCCACACGACCGGAACAACGACAGGCGAGCTTTTCCACCTCCCAGGTCGTGATCTGGAACATCACCGCAAAAGGCATTGCGTCTACATCTCCATCTGAACAGCCTTATGCATGCCGCGAGGGCCTGGCGAGGAGTTTCATGGGCGGCCAGCGCTCTTCGCCTTCCCCTTGTTTCTTCTCTGCTCCCAGCTTTGCCCTCCTTCCGTAGTTTTTTTTCAGGCCGCCCAACACACAGGTGTTCGCGCCCTGTTGGTCCCGCCCCTGCTCGGCAGGGTTCGGGCCGGCATTGCCACGCACACCCTGCAGCAACCAACGCAAGTTCCTGGACTGTGTCTTCCCTGCTCGCCTTGTCCTGCCCCTCCCCGTCCTCCCCTCCTTCCTCCACCTTTGTTTCGCTCGTGCTCGCGAGGGTAATTGTGCGGGTGCCGTCTACCTCCGTCGGCCTACGCACGCGCGAGTTTTTGTCAGGGCGTGCTCTCCCTCCTCCTCCTCGTCCTCCTCTTCCTCCTCCTCCTCCTCCTACTTCCGCATTTGCGGGCCGTGATTCGTGACATTTTCGTTGCGTGTTACCACCTTTGCGGGCCGCGTTCTCAATTTTGGGTGCACCGGCCTTTCCTCGATTTTAGGCTCGTCCCCGTCGAAGCTTGCTCTGGCTTGTGCGCTTGGCTGTCAGCGTAAATGTTTGCCCCCGGCACTGCCTGTCCAGCATGCTCGGCACAGGACCTCGGGGTCCACCTCGTGGGCACGGTGAGGGAGCCGTAGGATCGGTTAGAGTGTGAGCTCAGCTTCGGCCGCCTTGGCGGCGTCTTGCGGAAAAGACGATGTAGTTCTTGGGGGCGGGGGAACAATTGCCACCCTTCTTTTGGCTCAGTTACGCTGTCTTGTACATGTGCCCAAATGAACGCACATAGTGGTGGGCATTTCATCGGTGCTCTGATGGGTCCAGGTGTTCCCACACTACAGGCCACCATTGCGATACTTTG